CTAAATACGTCTTAAACATAACCCCACTGCCCGTCATTCCCTCCCCTCCCTTTCTTTTTTTAAGTGTGTTCTTATAAGACAATTTATAAATGATGCACTCATCCTTTCAGGTGAAATCTGTTGTGCTGCATACACTAAATCGTGCAAGATTTACTGTAGCAGTAGAATCCTTTCTCAAGTCAGGTTAGGCTTGAGTCACTTCTCTTGTCCTTGATTGTCTCCTTATCTCTGTCTATGCGTGTGTGTTTGAGTTTTATGTGATATGCCAATTTTTTGTTTGGGTTTAATTCTTCCTTTTCATGTTTTGGGTGTGTGGGAAGATTCATTCTGCTGCTTCAAATATCTCATTTTATGAATATTTCAGAGCTTGAACGCCAACCTGCACTTCCCAAAACTGCTTAAATTACATATTTTATGACATTCCTAAGTGTCCGTATCATCATTTTGTTAATATATCAGATTCCATGTGAAAATTGCTTTGTTAAATTTTGGAGATCGGAGTGCATTTACCAATGTCATGGACTCTTCACCAAGGCAAGGGGGATTCATATCCTTGTTCTCAAATAAAGCTGGAAGGGAAAAGAGATTAGCTAAATACATGGTCTTCTCTGAAACGTTTTTTTACTATATTTTTCAGGCCGAGTTCCAACTCTGCAAGAGGGAAATTCAATGGAAAATATATTCAGTTTTCCATGGTCAAAACACAGACCTATTGTTCTTGGTACTAGGCAAACAACGCTCTCTTGGCTGTTATATCATATTCACCTTTATGCAACTTGAAGACAAAAATTCAAATTGTTTGTAGGGCCAAGATTCAAAGAAGCATTTCAAGATCCTAACTCATATCTGGCCATGGAACCTATATTTGAGGTATAGTTGCTTAGCGAGAGGAAAATGACTGTCATGCTATGCAGTTTTGACTTTCATATTTAACTGTTGGATGGTGGCAGAAAACCCAATCTTTTGGGATTTGTTGTATGTGCTTATGTGCTATAAATGCCTATAGTGATGAGCCTTCATGCGCTTGCGTGCTTATTACCTTTTGCACGACTAATGAGTTGGATACTGATTTTTCTTGACACAGAAAGAGCGATACATTGTATCATATAATCCTTCCAAGGGAAATATATATGCCTTGTTCAAGGACCAAGCAAATTCTGATGACATACTGAAAGCAGCTTTTCATGTTAGCTCCAAATTCCAGGTCTTATGTGCTTAATTTTGATAGTCTTGCTTTCTAACTTCGCCTCTTATTATAGGCTCATGTGCTTCTCCACATCATCCGCACGTCCAATCAGAACCAGTGTTCCTCTAGGAGACAACGAG